AATTTTAAATTTATTTTAAGATCATTTACATGCATCTGTAATATTTGTAATGCTCATTTAAAGATCTATTGTCTTTATTTTTTTACGAATATTTTGATATATTGCTATAAATTTTACGTGTAAAGGGAGGTAATAAAGAAATACACACTCAATGTTACGCGTTCAGGGAGGTAATAAATAAATGCGTCTGTGCGTAACCATATATCTTAAGTACCGTGATCTAGATATAACATTATTTCTACCGAAATATTTTCTTTCATATAAATTATTATATGTATATTTTGTTCCGCTAATACGTTTAACGTGGACATATTTAGAAGTTAAATGAAATAGAGAAAAACCGAATCCCTAAAAATACGCCAAAAAATGGCAAAATTAAAATGAATTTTGATAAACCTGCAAGCCACCCCCACTAGCACCGACTTAAACAGATTTAAACATTTAACATGAAATAGTGGCATTCTAGTGAATTTCTGTAACTTACCAACACATTCAGGATACTCACTAACTTGTAAGCCACTGTTCTAACTGCATTTTGCTGACGCTCATCTGGAGGCGTGCAGCTTTAAAATTTTGTCCAATTCGGTCTTTTCCGTCGGCTCACTTGCGAAGTTTGGTGGGTTTACTCCATGATATACTATGATATTTTACTTTAAGCCTTGTGAGTGCTGCTCTTGTGCTTGATCACTCAGATACCTACGGTGGCACAAAGGTGCCATGTGTGTGTTTTTATCTATCTCGTGCGCACGAGATACTATGTCGTGGCCACGAGTTACTAAGTCGTGGCCACGAGTTACTAAAGATTTTTGTGTTCTTTATTCATTGTTGAGTACATTAAAATACGAGTAAAATGTCGTGTTATGTTTAAAATGATAAAAATCTTTAAAAAAAAAAAAAAAAAAAAAAAAAAAAAAAAAAAAAAAAAAAATGAAAAGAAAGAAAAGTAGATCTATTTTTGGTAAAAAATATATAGCAAAGAATGTGCATTTACTAAATTGATGTCGCATACTTGTTTTTAGCAGCAGAGAATGAACAGTGCATTAAATTTTGTAAAAAGGGTATCTTTTTTACTAGATTTCACAGAGGGTACCGATATGGATATACTATGCACAGTGGGTATGGAGGGGAATATTCTCCAAAAGTATATGTATCTTGATGACATGTTTGTATCTGAATGTTTTTTCTTGAGGGATTTATTCTGTTTTGTCATAGTTATCGCCCTTGACATAGTAAAAATTTGCAATTTTTTATTTGTGTCGTGCATAGCTCAAAAAGTATCTAACCTAGAGTCATGAAACTTAACAGGAATGTTACTCAGCATGTGTAGCTGTGCACCTACAGTTTTGATTGTGGATTTTGCCAGTATTTCTAGAGTTATTGCCCTTGAATAAGAAAAAAATGCAATTTTCAAAAATTATTAAAAATATTTTTATATTTAAACACAAATGGAACAACAATTAAACTAGTTATAAAACATATATGAAAAAAAAAAAACGATTACCATCAAGTCTCAATAAAGTAGACATGATCTGACCCCCAGGCGTCTGTGATTTAATCTACTCACCGTACATTTTTATGATATAGATATACTATGCTCAAATTTGATATACAGTCTTTTTGTAAATATAAACATGTATGTTTTGACTTCGCACAACGTAGATATGTTAAATATGCTATATGTTAAAATTCTACTCACACTAATTATGAATATGTCTTAAGTATTATGTCTATTAGTAATATAATTAATATAATATGTCTTATTATTATAGACGTTGAAATATGATTTTTTTGTATTCAAAACGGCTTACATTAAGTTTTTTATATATATATATGATCAGTACATGTGCTGGGATTGACAAATATACACTTTATTTGGATTTTAAACGTGTTTTAAGCTCCACTCCCCAAGTGTCTGTGCGTGTTTACACAATTACATTTTATCTCTAACAGTTGCCCTGCTTAAGTTAAGAGGGCTCCACAAACTGATCTAACGTTCTCAAGAGCTTCTGATAACGTTGACGTTAGCATAACTCTAGCATAACCCAACAGTTGTCAAATTTACTACATAAACATTTAATTTAACTTTTAAACGCACGGTTTCAAAATATGTAGAAATGTTTAAATTTATTCAAAGATCGTTTATTTTATTTTTATTACTTCAATGCTTTTTTTCAAATTATTTAATTTCTCCATTTCTAAACGGATATTTTGATATATTGCTATAATTGTACACGTTAAGGGAGGTAATAAATAAACAGAAAACATGTGCATGTTCAGAGAGATATAAATAAAACAATCTAATCACCAGAAAATGTATCTGCATCTCATTCTGAGTTTATATATGCGTAGCAAAATATCTACGACTATATACATGTAATCATACGTACCGTCATATTCGCTTATCAACCCTATTACAAGTAGAGAAACTGATAGCGAACAACATGGATCCTGATCAGACTGCGCGGATGCGCAGGCTGGTCTGGATCCATGCTGGTCGCAAACCCACTATGTTGGTTTTGTAGTGACGCGGCTCAAATATAGATGTAAATGCTATTCTCAAATACATACATTATAATTATATTGTGTTCTGATGATCAATACGTTTGACCCGGAAATATTTAAAAGTTTAATGAAATATATCCTAAAAATACACGTGAATGCTTCAGGCCGGGTTTGAATTAGCCACTGGTTAGTGCAAGCCACCGTCCACGCTCCCTAGCACCGGTTTAAGCAGACATGAACTAGTAATATTCTAGTGAATTTCTATATAACTTACCAACATTTTCAGGAAACTCAGCCATCAGTCAAGTAGACATAAAATGCATACGACCTTTAACAACCATATTCTCTATATAAGTATTTAATATGTGACACAGTGGTATGCATTTTTGTCGAAATTAAGTGTTGTATTTCGTCACGTGGTATGTCGACCGTGAATTTAGGGATTCTGTTTTTCTCAATTTCTCTTGTTTTAAAGCAGGACAAGTCGATTACACTATAATTGACATTACGCCAGAGAAGGGATCGCTCCGCCCACTGATTCACGTGACCCGGTCAGTAAGAACCTTAGACAAAATACGCTACCGATGTATTCGCAAAGCTGTTGTGCCACTAATGTTAACAATGAATGTACCTTATATACATTTTGTAAATATAAAATTTTGATGTTTTTAGTGGTTTTATTGAGTAATTCAATGTATAAATGTATTATGGTATTTTTAAAAAGTAAAAACAAATCTGCATTCACGTATTAATGACGCATGAAACGTTTTGCAAAGATGGTGTTATTTCTTGTTGACTTCAATGAAAATTTAAAACTGACGAAATATCATTATATCTTACAAATTCAAAGGGAAACTATTATTATGTAGAAACGTATATGATTATGTTATGATTGTTTTATTTTGAAATTGAAGTTGCGAAACATAAAACCATGGAGCTAAATATAAATTGTTTATATATCTGTGATAAAACAGTAAAGTTATATTTATTTAGTGACACAAATAAATTTAAAATCATTTTTCGGGTTTTATGTGCGAAATTCATTTTTGATAATACATTAATGTGTTCATGAATTGTTAAAATGGATTCAGAAAATTGCATGCCCTTGCTAACTTTTTATGATGTGTGATTATTTATTGCTAACATACATTTGATTCACGACAAAACACAACGTTATTCTCTTTGAAATTAACTTCACATATATCAGACATGATGTTATTGGTATTAGTTTGGTATTAAGCAGATCTATTTGAATATTCAATATTAATTTATTGAACTTTAATAGAAATCTTCAGGTTAGATAATTTCACCCATATGTTTATTGTATTTACTCATTATATTTGCATTTTTACGGCTGCGTTTTTATTGACGCTATACGTTATAAACGGTCATATCTTCTGACCTAATGATATGTAACGTGATTATTAATAGATAGAATGGGGAAAAAGTGGATTTGTTTAAACCTTTTCCTTTTTCAATGCATTGTGTTATAGCCAGGATAAATGTTTCGTACTTATTATTTCCATATGTAGAAAATTATTGACTTTTTGTATTATAAACTTACTCGATCTGTCAATATGTCAGTATATTTGGTAACTTAATTAATATATGATAAAAAAAGCTTTAAATTGACAGAAAATTAAATAATTTTAATCTAAATTACTTCTGCACCATTGTCTTAGACACGTAGCTTGTCCAAGGAAAATGGTGGACATCGTAGGCATCTTAGCGTGGAACTGATAACAATCGCTGATTGGCTTATCTCTATGACCCCTGCCTGTTTGATTGACAGGCGGCGTAATGTCAATTATAATAGGTCATAAAGTACAATTTTGATTAAAAGGTTTAATACATGGTTGAAAGGTTCACAAAACAAAGCATTATTTAAATATCAAGGACCGATATTAAGAGGCGTGGTCAATATCCGTCACAATCTCCGCCTCCAAGGCGGCACGTGTTAATGGACTTGTCTGGGTTGGTACAATAATAGCTATTAAAATCGCTACACTTCGTTATACTTCCGCCACATGTCCACCATCCCTTGTATGTACAATGGCATGCCGTGTTTGCGGGTGGGGCTTGACTGATTGAACATCCCCAGAGTGATAATCACAATCGCACGTGGCTGTTTTATACCCCTTCACAATCACCGTTTCCTATTAGGCACGAGTGCACGGAGTAATCGGGATTGGAGCAGTAGTACGAGTTAAGATTCGAGCATAGGGTCAATCTCCCGCCACATGTCCATGCGCCTTTGTATGTGCAATGACATGCCGTTCCTGCAGGCGCTTTCAAGCTGATAGAACAACCGCCCGGATGATAATCGCAGTCACATTCATTTCCGTTGAGTACATTGGAGTTGTTCGCTACGGGTATGGTACTTGCTTGGGTTGCGAGTTTGATACCTTGCTCTTTCAATATCCCGTTTACCCATCCAGGATAGTTAGAGAGCACGCCCTGTATATAAGGAAAGCGTTCTTCTTTAGCTTGATGTAGCATCAAAGTACCAAAGGTACGTTAGTCCAGATCACCCTTCTGGCCTTATTCAAGGTTGCTACCTCCATTGTACCTTGCTGAATTTGGATCGGCGAGCATGAGGAAATCCCTGTACCATAAACAATATTGCGGGACGATAACTTATGCAGCTCTCTAAGCGCTCCGCCAATGTTATTCTTTTCCATGTCGATCGAAAAATATACACGGGCTTGATATTGCGATCCCTGTAACGCGGTAACCGCCGCCTGTAAATAAGGCAAAGTGTCAATCTTCGGGGAGCTAATGATGACCTTTCCACCGTAATCTGCCTGAAAAAGGTGCGTGATTAAATTCGTGACCACCATTCCTCCCGCAGTCTTCATTTTAGAAGAATCAATGTCATCACTGTCAATTTTTGAGTCAATAATTATCAAAGCGAGGCTGGCCTTCTTGGCGAGAAAATTCAACATTGTTGGTATTGAAGATTCAGCTCTGCATGGTGATATGCTATGGACATCATCCAAGAGCTTTGCACAAACACTGTTGGGGTATAGTGTTCCGCATAATACATATAGAGGGGCTGGGCATAAACACGTGCAGTCACATGCCTCTCCGGCGGCACTATGTCTAAATATATGAGGAGATCCGGATGATTTGTCAAAGGTCAAATCTATCTCTACACCGTTCGCACCTTTTGCAAGCGCCCAGTCGACACTGCCCGGTGTATTGGTCATGTGTGCGATGTTGTAGAAGCCCTCGTCACCTGTGGGAAATACAAAAAAAATTATATCTAATATGACTAAAACAGCAACATTGAATAATTACGTCAAATTGATTGTAGCATGCCAATCGGAATGTACTCGGCTTTTATTTATGCGAAGACTGTTCGAAAGGGCCGAAACACCCAGAATAACGACCAGATCTAAGATAACGAACAGTTAAAGAATAGCAACCAGTCCTATAACAAGGCCCTAATATATATAATAGCGCCCAGATGTAGAACAACGCCAAGTTTAAGAAAACGACAAGCTCTAGAACAGCGCCCAGACATAGAACAACGCCCAGTTATAGAATAAGATAAGCTCTAGAATACTTCCCAGATGTAGAACAACGCTAAGTTTCAGAATAAGACAATCTCTAGAATAGCGCCCAGATGTAGAACAACGCCCAGTTTAAGAATACGACAAGCTCTAGAACAGCGCCCAGATATAGAACAACGCCCAGTTTTAGAATAAGGCAAGCTCTAGAATAACGACCAGATATAGAATAACTCCCAGTTTTTAAGAATAACACAGTCTCAAAAATAGCGCCCATTTCTAGAACAACGCCCAGTTTTGGAATAAGACAGACAATCTCAAGAATAGCGCCCAGATATAGAACAACGCTTAGTTTTAGAATAGGACAAGCTCTAGAATAGCGCCCAGATATAGAACAACGCCCAGTTTTAGAATAAGACAATCTCTAGAATATCGCCCAGATATAGAACAACAGTTTTGAAATTAGACACTCTCTATAGAATAGCACCCAGATATAGCAAAACGCCCAGTTTTAGAATAAAACAATCTCTAGAATAGCGCCCAGATATAGAACAACGCCCAATTTTAAAGTAAGACAATCTCTATAGAATAGCGCCCAGATATAGAACAACGCCCAGTTTAAGAATAAGACAATCTCTAGAATAGCGCCCAGATATAGAACAACGCCCAGTTTTAGAATAAGACAATCTCTAGAATAGCGCCCAGATATAGGACAACGCCCAGTTTTAGAATAAGATAATCTCTAGAATAGCGCCCAGATATACAATAACGCCAAGTTTTAGAATAAGACAAGCTCTAGAATAACGCCCAGTCATAGAACAATGCCCAGTTTTAGAATAAGACAAGAAAAGCATTGATGCAAAGCATCAAAGGGCGTCCAAGCAAGAAATGCAGCAGGTGCAGATGAACTAGTAGATATATGATGATAAACTGTTCAATGGTTCATTGGTTTTTAACAGAATTGTATATTACTTCTGAATGAAGGAACGAAAGACATTGTTCATTATTTATAAATTTGAGTGGCATGCTAGAAATTAGAATATTACTTGTTATTTCTTTATGATCGTGATTATTAATAGCAACGGATATACATGTATACAATCATTTATAATCCATATGAGTAACAAATGATCATCACCACACTTTTGTAATTGTCCCTTATTATGTTATCGCTATTAGCGAAGACCACCTCTTAAGGTATCTGTTCACACTTAGTAACAACATGACACTTGTTATATTACCATGTTGATCATGTTGAGCATAAATGTTTAAATGTTTATTATACACTTATTTTAATAATTTTTAATAAAAAAATACAGATTTTATGAATATTGTTTTCTTTTCTTTTTTGTGTTTTATGCACTATTTTAATACTGACTGAGTTTTTACGTTAACTATTATTTTAAAAATTCAATTGTCATAATGACCGACGATTATAAGTCAAAACTTAACTGGAAAAAGTCAGTAAATTATGGTTAATCTTTCAATATATAATATTGTTTATTCTTAAACCATACACATGTACATTTGTATTTTTCTTTATCATTTCTTAAATTATCAATTAATTGAATAATTCATAAAATCTGATTTGTAACTTTGAACAATTCCTCGGCATCTTTACTAAACACGAATAACAAATTAAATAAAATGTTTCAAAGTTGATAGTGTCATATTAATGCCATAAAAATGTACATTTGTTTCTCAATTATTGTACATATTTATTGTTTTTATCTCATATAGATAAAATAAAACATGCGATTTGTGTTGTTGGTTTTTTTTTTGTTTTTTTTTCGAATTGTATGTTTATGTATAATAATAAACAATAATTTTGATAGTTGATCTGTGTTTATTAATTATTGTAACCAAACTAAGTGACAAACATTCATTTTGAAAAAAAGCTTATTTATCTGTAAAAGTTCTGTTCTGTTCTGTAACGATATCAAACATCTCCAAAACCGGGAGAGACCGGACAATAAACGTGTGGTACTATTCGCCGGTAGTCAAAATAGACCAGGAGAGACCGACAATTACCGACAAGAGTACATCCCTCTATAAATAGATTTTCGGAATATTTAGGTCATCAACTCATCATTCTATTTACAGCTTTCGGAATAACATACCATAATAATCCACTGTGTACTACAAAATGATAAATAGAAATACCCTGAAAAGCGCGATTTATTGACGGAAAAGGTTATTTAATTTGAAAATGTTTGCATTGCGAAATTCTCCAGTTCGCTATTTATTGTACATATCGCGACTAATTAATAATCAAGCACCCTCATACCGCTCGGAATGATCGGCTTTTATTATGAACAACTATAAAAGGCTCGAGAAGTTGCTGTCGCCCTTTCACAAAATCTGATTTCATTACATAAAAGGCGCCGCGCTTCGGCGCGGACGCTTACAAGCGCTATAGAATAACGTCGAGTTCTATAATAACGAACAGTTCTAGAGGAATGCTCTGTTCTGGCATAAGTAATAGTGATAGAATATATACGAGGACTTTACCGGCTGGTATCAGCGCATGGGGCGACAACAAGGGCCAATCATAAGAAATCAATCGATTAATTTCCATGATTGACCCTTTTGTCGCCCCATGCGCTGATACCAGCCGGTGAAGTCCGAGTATTTATTCTGTTACTGTTTAATCGCATGACCATCACGACTTTTTCTTTGAGATTGACGCTCTCTCGCAATATTTGCTTTACTTAAACATATAAATATTTTAAGAAATACCAACAGAAATACACCCATTAGATGCCGTTGAAGGAACCGGAATTAAATAACCATTTGACGAGGTAAGTTGATGCTTTTTTTCTGAATGCCAAATATTAATCATCTTTCCAGCTCATTTTCAAAATGTAATTTAGGAAATATTGTCGATAAGAGTCCCAGGTTTATTTTGTTCGCGTATTTTTTAAAACTAACGACAATGTAGTGATTTTATTTGTTTGGGTCGTCAGACCAAACAAATAATGGTAGCGAAATTTCAGACCCTGATGCTGTTAATTGCAAATGCCGAAAGTAGTCCGCTTTTTTGAAGCGGTTACTTCCCTTTATATGTACACTAACGCCGAGAAATTCAGGCGAGATCACTGCGTAAAGATGGTCAAATGACAGGCGCATTAATTTTCAAGCAAAATAGTTCCCGAATGGTCGAACATTTCTAATATCGTTTTATTCTTTATAGATATACATGCTTATAGTAATCTTCATGATTATTTACATCTGTGTTAAACAACAGTTAGCGTCGAAATAATAAGGGTTACAAACCCTAATTTAGAATAATATGGTTTTCTTCAGGCCGTTAACATATAACTTTACCGTGAGCGCTCGCTTAGGAAGCGAGAGGTCTGGAGTTCAAATCCCAGTCAACTCATTTTTTTCCAAATTGTTTAAGTCAAATAAACATTGAATTGAATATCAGTATTGCAATTAATCTTATAGCCAATTCACTATAATTAAAACGCTGAAAAGCATTGGTGGCACTATACAAAAACAAATTCAATTTGGTTTATAATCTCACAACCTTCACCTTTCTGACATTCTGAGACCCAAACAAATTCAGTTCCTTCTGTGCTTTGATTTCTTAACACTACTTCCATCTATTAATAATTACGCTAGATTATTATGTTCATACGTCTAGTGATTTACTGAGTGGCTTACTGGTCAGAATCTCCTGTAAAAAGGAGACATTGTTTAAAGAAAAAAAATGAATAATTTGATCATTGTTTCAGACTTGTCCTCGAGGTCAGGATGTAAAAAATGGCGATTACTTTCCACTGGAGTCAACATCTTTATAATAACTGCATTTTCAAGTTTTGAAGAAAACAAGATCGAGATGATATGTAAATATTAAAAAAAAGTTCTGTCAACTGTGTAATGTTTTGTTTTGCTCTTTATCAGGTATACTCACTTTATAATTTGCAATAAAGTAATAAACTGGTCATGCGCGAGAAAGTGTACTGATACCTCATTAAGAGCACCTCAAAGCGTACTGATACCTCATTTAGAGCACTCCAAAGTTTTCCAATACCGAAATTTAGAGAACGCCGATCTTCAAATGAAAGTTGTGGCGGTCATGCGATAACACCCAAATTTGAAATAACGACCAGATCTGGAATAACGCTTAGTTCTAGAATTACGCCCAGTTCTAAGATAAAGCCCAGTTTTTTTAATAAAAGTAACGCCCAAATCTAGAATAAACCCCAGTCTAGTGTGATTGCTGATGACCCTAACTGAAACACCACCAAACCGACTGGAATTATTTTTTTTTATCTAAATCCGTGTAATTTTTGTAATATATCTATATTAAGTCAAGTTGAAACTCATTAAATATCTTGAAAAAATCAGCGTGATAAACAAAGTACGAAATAGATATTAAAAATATTTTAACAAAATAACTTACCATGAACATTGGCAGAATAGCCCGCAACCGCCAACACAATAAAGAGAATAGCCATATCTCGTGATAAAGTCTCAAGAACGACTGTCGAGATCCAACGAGAACACGACTTTTTAAAAGGGCCATATTTGTAAATCGCTTTTTAATTTACATATCATTTAAAATTAAACACGCCATGTTTGTGGAAATATAATTACAATTTTGTAACTGAAAAATGAACAATGTGCATGTATATAAATGAACCAAATAAAATATATTTTAAGTGTAACAAGGGCAAACAGGTGTTGTGTACATGTAGATTCAGTGCACGCCGATGGTCAACACCAAATAGTGACAAGGTCATTATGAAACTTTTGAATGCTGCTTAACATATAGGCTTACGCGGAAAAAAAAAGAAAAAGAAAAAAAAAAGAAGAGAAAACCTTGTTTTTGGGATAGTGTGTATGTGTGTTGTTGGTCCTTAACCAGCTGGCAGCAACTGTAACTATCCTTGTGCACAGTGCATACCTTAATAAGTCGGCACATCCGACTTCCCATATTCTGCACTGTTCAGTTACTACATTTTAAAATAGTTTTGAATTTTTCCCTGAAAAGATGAATGGTGGTGACCAGGTTGAAGGATGGACATGACAGAAATATAAAGTGAACCGCGTTTTAGTCGGTGAAACGATGTCATAGAGGATATTGAATGAGTGTAGGTTTAATACTAAATTTATTGAACGAGTTGAATAAAATCATATTATGCGAGCCTCTGGCGAGCATAATATTGTTTTATTCAACGAGTTCAATAAATTTAGTATTGAATCTACACGAATATAATGTTCTATTTATCACATATTTAAAATAAGAACGGTAAACTGTTAACAAGAGTCATTTTTCTTTGACGCGCCGATAGTGTAACGCTAACATTAGCGCGCTTTAACGCTATGTTTATAGCGCAAATTACGTGACGTCAAAGTGTTATTACACTAGTGTAATATTGACTAGTGTAATATCGTTTTTATTAAATGGCTTTATTACACTCCTGCGCCGCGGTTTATGTGATAAATTATAATAATATCACTGACGTCAAACATCATTTTAACGTCAACGCTATTTTTTTTCACAATGAACCGACACTTTTTATATGCGAACAAATTTTAGGTTATTTCCCCGTCTCGTTTTTCAAAAAAAAAAAAAAAAAAAAAAAAAAATAATAATAATAAAATAAAATAATAAAAAAAATATTGTGTGTAATGTATATTTGAAATCGCCCCCCCCCTCCCCCCCCCCCCAAAAAAATAAATTTTTCAATTAAATTCTGAGCATATTTCTTTATAATTATAAAATAATCCTTTTCAGATTTTCCCATTTATTTAAAGTGATATTATGCTCGTATTTACTTCTTGACATAATGCTCATATTCTTTGTCAAGTTGGGTTGAATTGTATTTCAAAAGATTTGACTGTTTTTATGGTGATTGACCAACAGATTATATTGGAAAATGTTTGGGATAAAATTATTTATTGTTGATGCGAAGTCAATTATATTAAATTATTATTATTATATTTAAAGAAATTAAAGCAAAATGAAAATTTAGTTTGACTCTCACCTGTGTTTTAGATGGACACAATGTCACTTTAAGTGTTTCACTTGTTCTATGTAAGACATTAATTTAATGTTTTAAGGCTTTTTGACCACAGTGGAAATATTACTCAAATTCAAAACATCTTGATGATAATAATTAAATCTGTGACTGTTACATTTTGATTTATAAATATATATATTAAAATAAATTGCATGTCCGCAATGGAATCTAATAATTATTATACTTTTATGTCACGCATTATGTTGGGTAATATGTTTTCGTGACATAAACGAACTATTAAAAAGAGGTAAATAAGAAGTTTAATATAAATTCAAATTATAAAATTGAATTATGAATTGTTTTTTTTACCAGCATGGCAGAAAAAGTTAATAGAAACAGTATTCTAGTTGTGCGAATAAATTAAAATACAACACACAAAACATGTGTATAATTTTATAATAGTCTATCAGTACTGTATAACTATAAGTGGATATTTTTGCGTCACAAATATTTTGCAAATGTCAAAGATTGGACTTTTTGCGTGCGGAAATATTTGCGAAAATATGATTTATTGAATTTGTGATGTAATTAATGTTAAGAATATGCCGTTATTGTAATCGTTCTATTCAGTAATTTAACACTTTTATTATTTATTTAATTGTTTGAAATATACAATGATAGTTTGATAAAGGACCTGATCACACATTTCTTTGTCATATTTTGAAACATTCTCTTGTTATATAAACAACCTTTTGTGTATTTAAATTTGTGATTTGTTAAGACCAAACTTAATCAAACAAAAATTAACAAAAATAATCTTAGTACCAGAACAGTCAAACTTATTCATGTAAGATGTTGTATAAAAACGTGTTTTCAAATGATAGAAAAAAGTTGCCTAAAAGAAATAATTTTTGCGTGATCAATTTTTTTGGCGAATAATTTCAATTCGCAAAAATCGCAAATATTTCCACGTCGCAAAATTAACCAATTATACAGTATTTCATAATATTATGTGACATGTATATTATGTTTTAAAATTATTACCATTATGTCAGTTTTATCACATACCCGTGCCGATATTGCGACTCCGTAAAAATGGTATTAGGCTAGGCATTTTAGCCAAAAATAAGACCCAACCTCAAACAAATTCCTTCAGAAAAGATATTTGCATATTTATTATCTACTATATATGTGTTGCTACAGGAAAAAAGTCCTCAAAAAAATTCGAAGCATAAAATGCTAAAAATGTCATGTTTTGAAATCATGTGTTTTCAATTAGAAAAATGTGTGAAATGAAATAACCCAGATATTCTACGCAAATATGGCCATTAACAAAGTAACACATTAATACACAAACATGCTTTATTTAATCAAAAACACTTCAACCAATGTTGATTAAATTCAAAAAGTCGCAACACTGCATAATCTATACATCATCATTTAGACTGGTATAAAACATTACCCCACCCACTAATGATAACTATTTTTTTTTTACTTTAAGTCAGATTCCATTAAATATTCTTACAAGTTAGCTCTACCAAGAATAGAGTTGTATGAATCTATCTTAATTGATATTATAATTCAAAATTGCAATACATTTTACACGAATAATTATTATTTATATACATTGTATTCGCATTTCTGTTCTGAAAATCAATCCTTCAAGTAAATATCTTACCAATGCTAAATTGCACTTACTTTGCCATGGAAAGTTTGTAAAAAAATTTATTATAAAAAGACATTTTAAAATGAAATGAATCTTCTGAATGTTAAGACACTGAAAAAAAACAATGTTATTTCATCATTTTTGTCACCGAGGCCCGACTATCCATATAGTCTGACAACGCTACACATATGTATATACACATATTGCCCTGTCCTTGTTCAATGCTGAAATTATATCTCCACTTTTTCGGCCGGTGCTGTTGAAACCTTTAGCCTGCCCTTTTCACAGAGACACATTGTTTCGCATCTGTAAAATTGTTACAACATAATATGATAAATAAAAAATGCGAACTTTGCATTCTGCTTTTAAAATGAAACAATTTTATGTCAAACTGAAAATGTAGTACTATGAAAAGCAAGATAGAATTGTGCTATTAGATTTATATTTTTATATTGAATTATCTACAAATAATTCATACATTAATGAGGCACGTTTAGTCTCAGCAAAAACGTGCCTCAGAATATGTTTCATGTTATATTGTTATAACAAATTTAAAGGGTGTAAATTGCCTATCGCCTGATATAAGTGTGACTGTGAAACATTGTAATGTGCCATATAAGTAGGAAATACTGAACAAAACGGCACCTTTACTTTCATACAGATAACTAAATTGGAAGTTTTGGTCGAGTGTTTAAGGTCACTGACTTCAAAACACTTGCTTCTTACGGTGTTAACGGTGTAGGTTCGAGTCCTGCCTGGGTTTTGGGATCTATTATCCGACATAGCTATCCCAAACTAGCTTATAGAACATTGGTGGTTCTACGCGCTAAAAATAATACCTATGTCACACTTTTTCCTTCACCAGTAAAGCTCGAAGTTATTATATGACCTGTAAAGTGTTGATGTGACATAAAACCAACAAACAAATCTCTGATCTTAGTAATTCCGAGAATGTAAGAAAAACTGCAGTTTTGGACACTAAAATTGAAAACTGCAGTTTTGGACACTAAAAATAAAACCCTTTTAAAAGAAAACCATTTAACTTTTACAAATGTGAATTCCCTTTAGAAAAGTTATATATGCAGTAGCACACAACACTTGAATCTGGTACACCAACTGTGTATTAAAAATATAGAGGGTTTTTCTTTGATTTACCTGTTAATTGCTTTTTCAAAAATGCTGGATCTTTTCAAACAGAACCCATTTTAGCCTCTCCTAACTTGGAAATATGGAAAATTCTTGCCACATCCAATCAACGGATTGATTTATGTTCGCCAAACTATAAAAGGCTGGACTCTCGCTAAATATTGTCTTCTGCAATTAACCATCTTATACTATGTTTAGCCCTTCCTCTGAAAATAAGATATATAAAGTCCATAAAACATTATCAAAAAGATATTAAAAAGAAATAGTATTGAAATGATATAGTAGGGAAACGCCTGAGAAAAATGTTGGTATGAGCAAAATCTTTTGTATGTGCATGCATTTATTATAATCATGCTGTAAAACAATGATGTAAATTTGTGTTGATATATCAATTTCTGTTGTATTAACAAACCTGAAAGACACCTAATTGTTTTTTTTTTTTCATTCATTCAATAAGATATATCTACGTAAAAAGCCATTTTTCTCTCACATAACATTACCCCTTGTGTAGAAGTCACGTGTCTATCCATCTTCTAACTAATCATACAACAACTGTTCTAAAAAATGCTGACAACAACATGGAAAACATTACTTAAAATATACATGCAACTGGCACTGGTATCATGAGGGTAGATTTTCAAGCTACACAACATTTAGAAAGAAAACAATTGAAGCAAAT